TATATTTTGAAACGGTTTTTTGGTGTGGATAAATTAACATTTTAAAGTAAAATTTAATTAGAGTATTCAGGGAGATCAACTCCGATAGTAATTCGGTTTACTTTTTTGGAATTCCTTAATTTCCAGCACCGTTTTAAACTTAATTTTTGTTTAGTTTAAGCTTGTTTTATGAGAGAAAATAAATTAAATTAAACCTTTTTTTGTCAAACACACTTTTTTGTCCTAGAAAAACCAGTTGTACATCAGTTCAACATTTTTTCCACCGGAGCCTGGCTTTAAGTGGTGTTTTCTGTCCAAAAATTTTATCCACAGGCAGTTCGTCTTTAATAATGATTTCTATCGAGGATCAGGCATGGCAGCTGCAACGAATCTGGAAAAAATAGTTTTGAATAAATGTGTTAGTGCCTTTTCATAAACAGTCACTCGAACAAACATCATCCATTCATCATGACCCGTTTATGATTATATTTAAATGAGGGTTTGTGAACTTTAGTGCTAGCAGCAGTGCATTGCCAATAATGTGTTTTATTGACTATACTTGGAATTTGTGTTTTAATGTTGAATAATATGTAAATAAACGAGGGTGGATGAGAATAACAATTGTATTCAGTTAGTGAACAGATGTCTGCCTTTCGAATGGTGTACATAGGTCCTATAAGCCTTCTGAACCATATAGGCTTATTTACTAAAATACTATGTAAGCCTGATGTTTGTATAATATCTTATGTTTACAAATCTATATCAAATGTGTAATTACGATTCAATTGATAGTATGCCTATTTGGATAACAGTGTCATGTTTCAGATGACTCAAGAGTGGCTGTATTTCTTCTGAGGGGGTGGGGTAATTCTCCTATGTGCCGCAAAGACGAAAAATCTGCGAGCATATTTTCCAATATACCAATACTACGTTCTTGCAATATTATGTTCAACTTTAAAATCCTTTGGATTTATCTCGCACATGAGACTTACTGCCCCTGAAGTCCGAGCCCTGCTATTCCGTGACCTAACCCTTCGAAAATGTTTTTGTTTTACATTTAAATAGGTCTAGCCTAATATTGTTGGAACTGTACTTGTATACTTTAGTAATAAATGAGTAATTTGACGATTGATGATATAATTTGTGAATAGATCAAGTTCTAAAATGTATATAGTTTTGGCATAATCCGTGATTATATAGTTTATTTGTGTTGTATAAGCGCAGACGTATAGATAGGTTGGTCAAATTTATTAGCTCCAACAATACTAGACCAGAGAAAATAGACCTCTCTATGACAAGACAGTGAATGAAAAGCCTAATAACAAAGAGGGCGCGTTTTCCATTTCATTCATAGTCTAGAGCAAATTTACGCGAGACTCAAATAATTCTTCACTGTTTCAGAGACCTACACGCAGTTCTCAACAATTTTTGTTTGTCTTCCTTCTCCTTATCAAAAATAATTTTGATTTTTTTTTTTTTCATAACTTTATTATAATTTCCGGTACCATGCCAACTCTATAGGATAGTGGCCTAATTTTTGTACAATCATCACGAAGGCACAACTCCGTCTTTGACTATAAGCTGCCTTATCCGCATCATGTCCTACCATTTTTCCAATGGCTTTATTGACGATGACCATTGCGATGACAATGACAAAATATTTATTTCCTTTGAGCACGAAAATGTAACGAAAATATAAATGTACATAAATTCATATTTGATGATCAAAGAAAATGAGATATTCCTGAAGCGTGCTTGTAATACCAAATTCACAATTAATATTTTTTTAACATTATCGGCTCAAAAAATTTTATTTATATTTAGAAGTTTAAATTCAACGGAAAGTTTTTATAATGGGCATTCTATTTCTTTTCTGTAAATTATATTTTCTATTCAATAATAACAATAAATAGTTAATATATAAATAAGTTAATATAAATATCTTTATATACGATTAAGCAATACAATAAGAACAGTATTTACAATCCAATATCATATAAGACAAATATTTTTAAATATAAGTTAATCTGACTGCCTGTTAGATGTTATAAAAATCATATTATATAGGCCTACCGTTAATTTTCCATTTTATGGTATAATGTTACTGACGCTGACGTGTATAGTAACGCTAAATACAGAAATAGAACTGAACTGAGTAAATATATTTGGACATTAAAAGACACTAACATGCAATATACCATAAAATGGAAAATTATAAAACAATGAAAGCCGTACTCTAATACCTGTCTCTTATACACATCTAGATGTGTATAAGAGACAGGTTTTGCGCTGCTGACTCTCAGTTTTGCGCTGCTGACTCT